AGCTGCAGGGCAACAGGCGCGATAATTCACGTTGTAATTCGTTGTCGTTCAGGTCATCTAGGCAGCATAGATGTAGGTCAGGGGTTTCGCACTTTCGTGTGACGAACAGATTGGTTAGTCGCGCAAAACGTCTTAAAGATTCAAGATCTTGAACTGACGGAACCAAAACTTGAACCCTCAGCATCATTGAGGGCATAAAGGAAGTGTGGAAGGCCAAGCCAACAGGAAGGAACTTGGAGCGAGCTGTTCCGCTCAGTAGAGGCAGAATCGAAACGAATCTAGACGCAATCGGCGAATTCTCGGCATTAAGCTATTGTTTTCCAGTACATTTCTGATATTTACTTGTTGGTCCAACTTTTCGGGTTGTTTCAAGTTCTTTTCAAGGTACTGGGGCAAAAACGTATGCTGGGGGTACTGTATTGCTTCGATGTTCTCCTAAACTCTGGAAAGAAAACAAAGTGTGTTCGACAGCAGAAAACCTATCGTAACTCCTTCCCCGGGTGTTGGCAGAACACTTACTGTAGTCCCTTTCCCGGGTACTGTATCTCAAGCTATTTGAAACGTGTCTACTGGATTTTTCTTGTTGTGAAATGCCGCACCTGAGAAGCGTTCGATTAGCTGATTGCAGTTCCTCTTCCTCTCCTTTGGCAAGCACACGGATGATGGCCGACAATGTCTCTTCAGTTTGTCCCTCTGTAGGTGTTGTTGAACGTTTCTTTCGTCCGTGTGACATGAACAGCTCGTTGGTGCCAGAGTCCAAGCAGTTTGACTGAACAATCACCACGATTACAGAGAGCTCTATTTCAAGTTAGTAATCGCTGCCATTTCAGGTAATAATTAATAAGTATGAGATCATCTGCTCACCACAGGACATCCGTTGGGTCCAGCACAGAACATAATTGAGCAGATGATCTGGACATCGTAAGAACCGTCCAGGCGGAATGCACGTAAGTCACTCTTTAATCTGTTCTTGTCGAAATCTTGCTCCACTGGTCCAACCAAGGCAGGATAGCGCGGACATCTACAACAAATTCATTTGTAATGCTTTTGATGGGATCCTTTATTGTCACAACAAAATGTTACCCATTCTCGATAAGAGTAAACGGCACGCTGTCGCCAAATCCTCCAACTCGGGTAGCGGTGCATTCGGTGATCATCATGTTGTGAGGTCCAGCTTGTTCCGATGTGATCACCAGCATCAGTGGGTCTCCAATTGAAGCCTGCAATCGAATGGCATAGTTGCCGTGATGAGAATTTTGAGCTGGATACGTCTATCTATTGAAATAAAAGTCGTCCAAAATACCTTATGCAAAGGTTCTTCAAGCTGATTTAGAATGGTGAGCTCAGCAGTGACTGGAGGAGGCGTGGCTACCTCCAGAACAGTGGTATTTTGTGAACTTAAATATGGTAAAAATATATTTGGAGTGGCATTGTGAGAGGAAATGTGTTAATTACCTGGCCTCATAGATTGTTAGATGACCACCAACCGCAGCGCTTCTTGGTCATTTTGTCCAACTGGAGCACGTCGCATGAAGATCGATAGCAGAATCGGTCCCACTCCGTGGTAACCTGCAGCAAATCTCGTTTAGGATAATTCATTTGAAACAGTTCTCCAATGTTTTGAATTTCTCATTGGAAAGCGACATCGGTGACGTGGTTAATCCACTACCTTAAGCGGCGGTGTTTGTTTAGTCACATAGCGTTTGGCTTTTATCTAACAGTTTTTTTTGCTATAAGACCCAGTAGACTGGTGGCTAATTTGCATAAATGGTCATGCTGTCGACTGATGGTCGCCTCTGATAATCAGTCCCCGTAATAAGTTCATTCTTCGTGCTGGTAATACATTCGTCAGGGTTCTTACATTATTTTCACGTTAGAAGGTTGTACATTACTTTGGCTTCATACATTTCCTTACATTAAAGGTGACGTCTAACTAAATGTGCGCGGACATCTGTCTTGTTATAAATGGTGGGCAAATAGACCCAGAATCTGCTCTGGTGTAGTGAAGGACTCCATCGAGTGATCATCAGAGAAGTCGCTTCCATTCTGGCCATCTTCTATATACTGTCAGATTTGATGCGGTATGGATCAATAGAGTCGTTTTACATATAGACTTGTGCAATTATGAACTCTCTGTGATGGCACTGACCTGATAATCGGTTCCCGTCGGATGACTACAGTTTGTTGTGGGTGTGAAGGTGATACTCTGATTTGTTTCGTCGTTCTCTCGTACGCACTGTAGAATGATACTTATTTGAAGATTTGCTGTGACATAGAAAGGCCAATGATATCAGAACACTACTGCTCGTTAATCGGCAGTTTCCAGAGAGTGGCAGCTCATATATCTTACAGTCAGGTATCGATTGAAAAAAAATTTTGAACAAACTCCAAGTCGTGCGCTTTTGTTAATTTTACATACAATCTTTAAATTGCACATGAGAACTTTCTTTGCTTAAATCAAGTACGCCTCGAAATGCTATTCTAAAAAATAATGTTGACTGATTAAATTCGTTACCGGAACAAATTTTTGAAGATTATTGCGATGCTGTATGCCGCGGGCCCCTCTGATATTGGGTCCGGTTTTCAAAATTTTTAGGGCTTTGGGAACAATATAGGTTTCTCGAGAGTTGCGAAAAAAAGAAATGGAAAAAGGGAGCGAACAATCAGACAGGTGTGATCTTCTTCCGATGGATCGCAAGACATTAGCTTTGAAAACGGTCCAATATCAGAGTGGCAGCGGCATGCCGCGTCGCGAAATAATCTTTCCAAATTCTATCCCGGTAAGCGAAACTTAATCAAGCACAATTTGTTTCATAGGCATGCTTAAGGCGCACTTGTTTGAACAACAAGTTTTCATGTGCCACTTTAAAAAATTGAATGTAAACCTACAAAAAGCGTTTCGACTTGGGCTTATTCCAAGTTTTTTTTTCCGCGACTGTATATCCAATAGTAACATTTCGGTTCAGCTCAAGCACCCACCTGAGAGCAAGTTGAGAATCTTTCAGCGGCATAAATAGCACCAGTGTATGGCTCTTTAGTGTTGACGATAAATCGAATGCCCTCGTTGGTGCAAAGGGCCATTCCACCGAATTGTGACTCTGAAGATCAGATTTATGTTCCGAAGACAACGGCTAGCGTTCTGATAATTGCATTCTGTAGCATTTTTCAATAGAACTGTCCTGACGTTATCGCCAGTTGAATTCAACTAGTAGTCCATTGACCGAGATTGCCTTGACATTGGCATCACTGCGGGCCGACGGCGTAAATGAAGCAGGTGGAGCCAGTTCTGAAAGAACAGCTATGTGAAAGTGATTATAAGTTACAAAGAATATGAATAGCACGGAAAAACACATTAAGTGAGAGGGGAGTGCGTGAAAGACAGCCATGGATTTTGTGTGGAGCCCATTGCCACCCCCTGCAGACCTCGCATTATCACTGGGGTTGGGGTACGTGGTTCATGACAAAATATATTGTGCATGAAACCATCATCACCAGGCTCAGAAAGTTATTTCGTGGCCCAGTTTGCCTTCCAGCGCCACTATGATTCTATGTCCGCTCCGTAGCACGTCTCATTATGGGCTCCAATCACGCTAATTGCTTCAATCCCTATTCATCAGGAGTAAAGAGGCGTCGAACAGGTCATCGCGGACTCGGTCCTTGGATGAGAAGTTGCGCCTGCGACTGCCTTACATAGGAATGTCAAATTGCGAGTAAATGACCCACCTATCGAAGTTAATGCTCTTGCAGTTGAGATTCTGGAAACAGAGTGAGATACAGTCAGCAATCGTCACTCCTTGAGCTGAGGCGACAATCTGGATCACAAGTGTTTTTCATGATTTGAAACGCTACTACAAACATTACTTACTTCTCCTTCAATTGATGAACCGATAAATCGCTCAAACGCAGCCTGCTGGCGGCAAGTCGACGACGACAAATCGGCTGCAACATAAATTACTCGTTTTGTCTCCTTTTCAGTGCCGCCGCTATGTTGCGGCTTCTTGAGAAAATATAGAGTAAAAATTTAATAAGATCATATAAATAACTTTGTCGTCACTATTCAACTATTACTACCCGGATAGTCGAAATTTTTTTTGCTGAAATTTTGCCCACAGAGGTAATTCCCTGGCCTGGTTACGAATGTGGCACTCATTTTAGGCACTGGCGCCAATTAGGCGCCATTTGGCGCCAGTTTGGCGCCGCCACCTTTCTCACCAAATTCGGTGTAAATTTGCATAGTAGGGTTACTTTGATGTCCTGATCACGAATACCGAATTAGTTTTCAGCCCTGACGCCATTTGGCGCCATTAGGCGCTGATTTGGCGCCACACCCTTTTTCATCAAAATCGATAAAAACCTGCATAATAGGGTTGTTTGATGCCCTGATCACGAATATGACATTTATTTTTCGACACCAGCGCCATTTAGCGCTCTTCTAAGGCTGAGCCTGGGAGAAGAGTGATTCCCTTAGGCCAGGCTCAGCCTTAGCAGAGCGCAGATGATCGTAGTGTCTTCCATCAGCGCCAGCGCCAAAAATGAATGTGATATTTGTAATCAAGATGTCAAATAACCTCCGTATACAAGTTTTCAGCGGATTTGGTGACCTAGGGTATTTTGGCGCCGGCGCCTGTGGCGCGGGCGCCAGGCAGTTTCAGGCCAAGTGGATGTGATATTCGTGTTCAGGAGGTCGAACTACCCCTGGGTACAAGTTTTCAGCGGATTTGGTGATCCAGGGTACTTTGGCGCCGGCGCCTGTGGCGCGGGCGCCAGGCAGTTTCGAGGCCAAGCGGATGTGATATTCGTGTTCAGGAGGTCGAATTACCCCTAGAACCCAACTTTCAGCCAAATCTGCCCCCGTAGAAAAAAGTCGATCAAGATCCGGCCTGTTTTCGGAAAATTGTGGTAGTAATAGTTGAATAGTGCCACTTTGTCTGTACAGCACATCCTTCTCACTTCTGAGTGATTATGAGAATTTGTAGCGAAACTTATTTCGTACTGTATCAGGTCCGCTCCTGCAAGAACACATCGGGCCCTATGTTTCGTTTCGAATATCTGCCCAAGAGAGAAAGTTGGAGGTGAAGGTCACCACGCCTGGGCGCTCTATCTTTCTTTGCGATCGCGCCTGCCCTACTTTGCAGGATATCGTATAACATCACTGCACTACGCATTCTTCGCACTACTTCGTGGAACTTCTGATAGAAAAAATCGAGAACAGGTCTCATTCAAAAGCGTGAAAGTAATTCTCAAATGAGATGGGACAGTCGCTTCGATAAAGTGCAAG